CCTTTAATAAAAGATGGAAACTGTTATATATTTGGTTGGAAAATGTATACAAGAAAGACTCCAATTTATGTTGATTTATGCTATGTAAGAATAATATATACTGGAAAAATCACACAAATAAAACTTGTAAAAAAAAAGAATATGAGAAGGCATCCTGACACAGACTCAGGGCTATGTGTTTGTGTACAAAACTATAGTCTTCCCCAGAGAAATAACTACAACTCCTCTGAGGCAGTGCAAGAATAGAGAGAGAGCAAAGTATAGTGGTCAGTATGAGCCTACTTTCTGGGAAGTTTGTAGGGAAGAAGCGCCCACAACTTCAAGGACACCTGCGGAGATAAGTGCAGTAACAGAGAAGGGAGGGAGGCGAGCAGGTACATCCATCTGCCTACACATTCCAAGCCATGGCAGCATTAGCTGACACCAGTCTATGAAGGAAATGTGCTGGGTGAACTTGATCTGGACACACACTCTTAGCCTAATCCACCTTACTGGCTTGTTGTTATTCCACATCTAAATAGTTCACATTGCTTTCCTACTGAGAAAGACTGGATCAGGATGGCACGAATACAGTGAAAATGGGGAGGGAGCCCAGTTGCACCCAGGAGAGCCCTAGCATAATGAGCCCAAGGCACACAAAAGCTCATACCTTGAATGAAACTTGTTGGTCTTAAAGGAGCTTTGTATTTCTCCCATGTGATCGAGGCAGCTGAGCAAAGCAAGACAGGAGAAAGGGGAGGAGCCTCAGCCAATGGAGGGGAAGAAAGGCTTGCCTTTGTCTCCTGTGCGATTGAGGGAACCTGGCCAGAAAGCAAGCTCTGGCTTGTTCTTTCCATCCCCATGGGAGGAGGAGGGGGAGGAGCCTCAGGCAGTGCAGGGAACAAAAACTTGCCTATCTATCTCTCCTGTGCAATTGAGAGAGTTTGGCAAAGCAAGCTGCGATGTAGCAAAAGAACTGGAAAAAGAAGCAGGAGAGCCAGTTCCTCCTGGGCCAGATAGGCGCCCTCTGAGGGCCTGATCCAGTCCATGGGCTGCATGTTTGACACCCCAGGTCTACTCAGACTGGCAGCAGCTCTCCAGGGTCTTAGGCAGCAGCCTCTTACATCATTTACCTGCCTCTGCTATATCCAAACCTAGTACGCTTTTCTGAATTCCCGCCCCCATCCTTGTCCTTTGCCTTCCCTTCTGGCCCCCCCCCCCCATTCAGATTGTTACATAAGCCAGCGCTTACATGCAGGGAGCCCAGAGAGTATGCATGTGTTTTTGGCTTTGCCTCTTGTTTAATCCTCCCTGCGTTGTTGAGGGATGGAGGCAAGAAAGGAGCTGTGCACGTTTGGCTCAGCAGGTTAGCAGGCTCCAACTTGCCCAACTTGGCGTGCCTCCTCCGCCCCCCAACCCTCAGCATTCTGCACACATTGGGTGCGTTCAGACGGGGCGTTTCTGCCGGCATAAACGCGATCAGATTCACCCTCCTGTCTGAGGAGCCCTCCGGTGGAAGCCCACTCACACGCTGCGGGCGTCGGCGTTTTTTTTTAAAAAATGACTGTTTGAGCATGCGCACAGGCAG